GCACGTGTGTCGAGGTGGACACCGCCATCACGTGAAAAAAAATGACCCTCTCAATAGGATTTAAAACAGCAGATTTTTCTGTTGTTACCTTAGTAACATGTCCCTCCACATGCTCAGTTCTTTTATATAACCATCCTTCCAAGCTACTATGATAATAAGTGTGGCAAAATGGTGTTTAATTGGGGTGCAAATTACAATTAAATCGAAATTCTGAGGCTACTCAGATCAAAACTGCCAGAGTGAGTCGACTTTCTAGCATTGTTTCCTTAGCAGCATGGCCTTGTAGATGCTTAATTCTTACATATAACTCTCTTTGTATGCTATTATAGTTTTTTTTTTAAAAAAAAGTCATAAAATGGTATTTAATTTGAGAGAAATTCATAGTTAAATCTAATTTATGGAGCTGAATAAATTAAGAGTCAAAGAAAATGGTAAAATTGACGAGTAAAATCTCAGCAATTATAATATAAAAAGAGAGTTAAATAAACTATATAAAAGTTATGTTAAATTAGATTTAATTATGAGAAACGTGAGAAGAAAAACTAAGAAAAATAAAAAAAATTGTGAAACCCTAAAAAAAAATTTGGAGCCAAATAGAATCAATAATAGAAACTTAATTAAATTTAAGATTAAAAGCTAGAGAGAACTTAATTAAATTCAAGATTAACAACTAGATTTAAATAGGATCAAAGTGAAAAGTCGGTTCGAGTTAAGGAATTAGGCAAGGAATCGATACAAAAAAAACAACTTTTTTATTAAAAATTAAAAAAAAGGACTGGAATTAGATAAAAATCTTTAAAAAAAGGTGCAGGAATTATTTACAAATTAAACTTTGTTTGATAAAACAGGATTCATTAACAGATTCTTCGACATCATCCGAAGTTAAGAGGAAGAAAGAAAGAAAAAAAGGAAGGTGAAGATACGTGTTAAGAATAAAGCAACAAGAGATTATTTTAAAACGAATTAACAGCGAATTATTTATCTTCCTTAATGGAGATTTCTACTTAGCAAAGATATCATTTCGAGTTAAAATTGCTTGTTGTGTAAATTGCTATAAAAGTGGTTGGGATGAGAGTGGAGAGAGAGAGAGAAGATGAGGAGGAGGAGGATATGGAACGGTGCTTATAGCTCTTATTCTAAAAACATCTCAACGGGGAATCTAAAAGTATCATATAGTCCTGTACAAATTACTCCGGAACGAATCTAAAAACTCACTTAATAACGCACATAACTCGAATGTTGTCTGGAGAAGTAGCACTCCCCGCTGACACCGATTTCCAACGAGTGCTGCTGATTTATCTTCTATATAGTTCCGATTTCGTTGGTGTGACAGCTTCAATGTTCAGACTGGAAATGGGCTACAGCTGATAGTTAAGTGAAAATTGCGGCAAAGAGGGATTCCTTTGCCGTAACATTAAAACACCATTCCGACACGAAGCATCCCTTCTGCACATCTACAGAAGTCGTTAAGGATAACAGTCCGGTCATACATATGCAATGAATGGGGTTGAGAGAATGCTAAAGCCGACAGATTGTCCACGACTCTCCTACGCATCGTCGTCGCCCCAACCCCTCGATTTAATGTTGGTCCTTTCACGTGATAAAATTGTCTACCCCCCTCGAATTAATTACGTATATGATACGATCGACGAAACTCTGATCGATAGAAATGGTGTTTTTTCCGAAGGTGTTACGCCGTTCCCGGTGTTTTATAGCGTTTATATGCTGTAAATCGAGGAATTTTCCTCTCTCTTTTTTTTTCAGGATTTGGATGTAATTTGAAGCTCTGTAACGTTAATAAATCGGGAGTTTATAGATGCGGATTGAGAATTTTGCTGTTTAAATTAATAATTTCGAGATCTGAGTGTTTTAAAAATGAAAATAATTGCAAATTTCTACTGTAAACTTCGTAAAAGTAGGCAGTTTTAAAGGCCTAAAATGCGAATTTCTATGTATTAAATCATCTAAAAGTATTATTTTATGTACTGTACGTTACTTAGAAATATAAATGTATAAAAAAACAAATTAACCGGTTAAATAGTGTTTAGAACTTATAAATTTAATTATTAGATAAACAATCCAATTGAAATGACTAAAATTTCGAGTGTAAATTACTGCTAAGGAGTTATTGTGTTGAATTAAACACCCCCAAAAAATACAATTCTTTTTTGTAAAATTTTTTATAATTTTCTAAACCTGTCGACCGAATAAAATCCTATCATTTTGATAAAGAAGATGGATGAAATGACTTTTTACAATGTACCCATCATCAAGGAAGAGAGAATGAAGAAGAAGAGAGAAGAGAGAGAGAGAAAGTCACACCAAAGACTGCATTACAGCAAAAGATGGATACCTGATATCCTTCCTGAGAGATTTCTTGTTGATTTACGCTTTTCAGTAAAGAACAACCGGTGTGGAGAATTACCTTTTTAGCAATAAAGCAATTTATACCCTAAGATGTCGGAGATGCGCATCGTCTTCTAAAGCTATAGGTGACATCTGCTCGACATTGTATGTCGACGTTCTGCAAGCTGTAAATCACCCTAAGGCTACGCTTCTTTCGTTTTTACAATATGATGAATATTCTCATTAATATTCCATGTGCAGCCTCCGAGACAAAAGAGATACTGCACAGTTATATTGTGATGAATATCCACTTAGTTGTTTTAAAGCACAGCCAAGGGTAAAAAATGGTGATAGGTAGACATAAATCGTACAGATTTTCGCCAAGAATTTTTAATTTTATTCCAGAATATTTATCTTAAATCGCATATTTCTTTAATTTTTTCGAATTTAAACGTGTTAAATCACATCTCCCATCTTAAAATTTATATAAATTTTAATATTAAAGCGTGTAAAGACACCGTAAAACTTTACGAGATTTCAGGCTCAAAAATGTCTTTTCTACACTTAATTTAGAGCCTTAAAAGGCTCGAAAAATTAATGTAGAAAACTTAAATAGGCTCTAGAAGGAAGAATTTAATGATAAATTTACTCGAAATCCTTAAAATAGATACGCGATACTTAAGTAGCGAGGGATAACTTTAGAGGGGTGTTTCGAGGTCACGTGTTAGTAAGCGGAAGTCCAATATGGCGTATGATATCTAACGCATCTAATAGAGGTAGAAATAATTTAAATAATTCCCACAGGCTGAGGATAGAATAGAAAAAAATGGCATTTTTTAAAAGAAAATCAACATTGGAGCTTGTTATTTCAGTCTATGGAGCAAATCGATACAATTGTTATGTAATGTTTCAAACAGTGAATTATTTCCTGGTTTGGACTATTAAATTATTGTCATGAAGCCACGTTTGTCCGCAATCCAATGAAAATCGATTTAAGATAATAAAAACTAACAACATAAACTTATTTATAGGAAAACGCCATGTTCAATTTTTGATTATCCTCTCCAGATGTTACGTACCGTACTTTTGTCTCGTTTTATATTGTTTTTTAACGTAAACAACACGGATTTTGAACACATTTATAGCATTAATCTACTGTGACTAATGTTTTTTAACTGTTAAATATTATTTTAAACATCAAAAAAAATTATTCTTCTCTTCGTAAAGGCCTACGAGTGAAAACGTTCCAACATCCGGATCCCTTTTACTCTTGTGCCAGATTACCTCGACTTCCGAGCTCNTCCCGTTAATTTTTATTTAAAAAAAAACAAAACAGAAAGAAAATACGCTTCGAAACGTAACTCGTAATGTAATTTAAGTAGCGCCTTGTTTAAGTTTTAAATTTTAAAAATTAAAAAAAATTTATTAATTTAAACAATTTCATACTAAAATAGAATAAAATTTCTCGAATTTTTACTTAAAATATGCCCGGAAGTATAAATATTCCCAGTTATTTTAAAGGCCCTACTTAAATTATTATACAAGGAAGAAAAAAAGTATTAAAATAAAATTCAAAAAAATATAATATACAATATAATTTTTTTTTAGTTTATACTGATTTATTTGGTGATATCGTTTTTCCTTTGTATACAATGTTAATGATTTGCTTTGTTCTGTATTTTGACACACCCCATCGGTGATCTGGAACTGCTACAGTAATAACGTCAACACACTCACATATCACCTTGGATACTATTTTAGGAATAAGATTCTTATAGAATCGGTCGTTCAGTATCAATCAGTATCGGTCGTCACACCAATGGACAGATCTAAGAGTCCATGATATTGCTTGTTCGTGATCTAAACACTGAATAACATGGGACACCGGAGTAAAGAAGCAAAGTGGATACACAAGTTATCAGGGCATAAATAACGGGGGAGGAGGATGATAAAAAGGATCAAATTCTACCGATTCTAGTCTAGAGGGGTGTGTGTTTTTTTCCATATTTTTTTCCAATTTTTCTCTTTTTAATAACTTATATACTCTCAAGCAAACAGTAGTCCTCTAAAATAGAAACTCAGAAGGTTAAAAGGTTGAAGAACCGAAGAGTCGCATCCACCTGTATCAATGGGTAGGGGCTCCTCTTTCGGTCAGACAGACACACTTCCTACTCCCCGCTGACACCGATTTCCAACGAGTGCTGCTGATTTATCTTCTATATAGTTCCGATTTCGTTGGTGTGACAGCTTCAATGTTCAGACTGGAAATGGGCTACAGCTGATAGTTAAGTGAAAATTGCGGCAAAGAGGGATTCCTTTGCCGTAACATTAAAACACCATTCCGACACGAAGCATCCCTTCTGCACATCTACAGAAGTCGTTAAGGATAACAGTCCGGTCATACATATGCAATGAATGGGGTTGAGAGAATGCTAAAGCCGACAGATTGTCCACGACTCTCCTACGCATCGTCGTCGCNGTGTGTGTGTGTGTGTTTGTTTGTAGAATCACTCTTTCTGTCAGAAACAGGCTTTCTTTGGCAGCAAGGATATGAATGAGGGAGAGATTTTCTCCCAACCCGTCCCACTGTACAGGCAGTCTAATAGACGAGGCTTCGGAAGATTCAGGACTGGAAGTTTAGTTCAGTTCTGTCGATATATATTTATATATATATATATATATAGACTTATTTTGGTGGTGTTCTATGAGCTGCGTGCTTGGCACGGCACTAAATTGGATGTTAGGATGACGTCCGAGCGAAGTGGAGCAATCACGACACCACCCTACTCTGTCCTCCTGTGGCCGAGGGTGCAGAGGAAGAAGCAGACATCAACCTAGCCCCCGGTACACCTAGACTGAATACAGTTCCGCTTCCGGGACCGGTACCGGCAGCCGTGGCCACAACAGTTTTGTGTATGTCGGCGGTGGGGAAGGCTGCAGCCGCCGTGCGTAACCTGTTCAAAGAGCTGACGGCCGATGCTGAGGATTCGGTGAGGACGGCAGATCCCGGTAGGGGCGAGGACCCTGTCGAAGTGGGTGATGTCATTGAAGAAAGAGCCGGGTTGACAATTGGAGGGCACGTGTATACAGCAGAAAGCGGGAACGATCCCGGTACACCATTGGTGGCATTGATACCACCTAACGTTCCGGCGTACCAGGCGGGTTGTGGCTTAGGATAAGGTGATAAGTACTCCAATCGAGCGGCGCGGTGAAGAGGACTCAATCGGGCGGCTCCCGGTGACGTCACTGTAGGAAGAGCCGAGGATCCCGCACCCGAATTGGTACCGGCACCCGAAGTGGCCGTGTCCACCAGAGACCAGATGCGTGGCTTGGGTGTGGTGGGCAAATCCGTTACGGTGCCACCCGTGCTGCCGGCAGACGGTGACAGAAGAGATGCCTGGGAAGACTCGGAGTCCGTGCCTAAACCCTCTGAAACAGGGCTGATGGTCGGTGGTTTACTCACGAAGCGGTTCTCCTTGTCGGAGCTGTTTGTATGCACGTGAAGATCGTTGATGGCTGATTCGCAAGACTTGGAGTCATCGTCCACGTCGACAAACTCCACTTTGCCCTCGTCTAAACCTATTTCGAAAGAGATAATTTCTTTATTACAATGCTTAGAAAAAACAATAACTTGCGTACGAGTATCGCCATTCAGCTTGGCACTAGATGTGGCACCTATACCACATGTTCTCCCTCTTACACGACTCCGGCACACTAAACTGCGTGAAAGCCATCGCGTGTTTTCAAAACTTCAATGTTACATTGGCGTATAGAAGATTCTCACGCAGCCGTAAACAGGATTTCTATACAATTTTAAGAATTTATCATTGTGCCAAACGCATGACGATACCCGTAATTTATCTATTATTCCAGTCCGATATGTAACACAATGAATATATATATTATAATGGACTAGGTCTAGAACGTTGGGCAAGATAGTTAGACGTGTAAGATCGCGTTACATAGAATATTTATGGGAAATTCCAGTCGGTGTGATTAGACAATGATGGATGAATCCGTCCTCACGCACTTCTGTCAGAGCCACTTACGCGCATTGCACAATTTACAAGCGTACAATGAAAACCATATAGACTAACAATTTTCCATCTTAATTTGTAGTCAGCCATGCCGAACCAGAATATCACCCCTCCCCATTTTTAATCCCTACTTTCGAGTTTGTACTCCGGCATCACCTCAACTTTTTTTTTCTTTTTCAACATTTCGAAATTTTGCCATGCAATTAGCAACGTTTGACATTCACGTGCGGACGGATTACCCCGAGTAATATTACATTTTAAAGCGTCTGCAACTATTACACACTCCAGTAGACTCGTTAACCCCCGTGGTTTCGGTATTGGTTCTTTAGTTGTCATACTTTCGTGATGGATAAGTGCAGTGACCGTCTATCAAATTAAAAACCCACCTCTCTACGGGCAGATGTCACCTTTACGGCCACCAAATTCTGGTCATATCCCCCCTTTCAATCTACAAATGTGTGCAGCCTTGTGTGAAATTTGTTTAACCTTTCTAAATTTTGACGAGAGAGCCGAAACCAATCACCATCACCTCCCGCTTCTGCAGTGTTTTAATCGTCTTCCTAGTCTATAAATATGCAAATTAGTTAGGTAAAATGATAAATTCTAACAAATCAATAAGGAGAATATATAAAAAAACGCTATAAAGGGGGATATTTCTAAATAAATGTAGTATTAAACTAGTAGAAATCTGGTTATTACCGGCTACACACAAGGAAAACCTCTCCCGTGATTACACATCTAGTGGTTATAATGCTAGAAGGTCTATTAAGAGGTAGATTATCAGATAATTATATATGATTGGCTAGAATCATATAGTGGTGCTGCACTTGTTTACAACTCTGCTCATATGGACACAATTGGCTGATGCACTCTCTGGTTATTGTTGTGAGTCATTAAATGAAGAGGGGGATTATAATCCATTGACACGATAGTCATTAAGGAGAAGCAAAAACTGTATTCTTAATGAAAGTCTTTCTCTGCTTTGTGTGCAGTTGCTAGTTCTTAAAGAACCACTTATTATATTGGAACCGTAATTCCTGTTTCATGTCTGCTACATTGTTTTGCTTGTTTGAAACAAGTTTCTGACAAAATCCAGTTTGCTTCTCTCACTTTTAAGTCCATGCAAGGCCCTCCAATGTAAGGGTCTTGTTTATTGTTTAATGACGAGACGTAAAGCATTTGTTAGGGAATATTCGACAATTTATAATAAAAATTTCCCTAAAATTAATAAGGGGTTTAAACACTGAATTTTTAAAGGGGCAAAAGTATTTTAAAGCACACTACTCTTGTTTTTTGAGCGCATTTTTCATCCTCCTCGTTAAGAAATTTATACAGAAAATCTTCTAAAAGGAAAATTTTACTATTTTAACAAAAATTTAATGCACTTTAAACCCTATTTTAAAGGGTTAGAAACTCTTTATTGCACTCTTAAAGAGGTTAACCGAGGTTAAGAGCATTATATCCCACAAAAATATTTTAAAAATTTAAAGGTTATTCTAGGATAGTAGGGCTTTATAAGGCGCAAAAAATTAATTTAGTTCCTCGGAAAAATAATTAAATTTAGAAGGTTATAAATTCGAACTTTTTTTAACCTTATAAATGATAGAGAAAAAGCTTAATTTTTTCCAATTCGAAAAGGTTGTGCAAAGATTAGAAATCTGTCTTTTCTCTTTCTGCGAATGTTTGTTATAAGGATTAAGTATGTGTCTCGTTAGTTTTAGGTGTTTCTCAGCATTAGGGACATTATCCCTTGTCTAAATGTTTGCTCGTGTTAACTTGTGTACAGTTATACTAATTATATAGGGATCGTCACAAATGGACGAAAGTAGAAGAAAGACTTCAAAATAAAAAAAAAACATTAAAAAAAACAGTGTAGAAAATAGGAACCTTAATTAAAGGAAAGCTAATTGACTAATGAACGACACAGGAAAAAAAAATTAAGTTAAAGTTGTGTGAGTGACTTGGAAGATGGAGAAAAAAAGATGGAGGAATTCTTGGTTGGTATGTTTGGAAAAGAAGACAGAATAAGACAGCAGAAAGACAGCAGACTTTTTTGTTGATTCTTTCATGTTTAGTAGAAAGACTTCTCCTTTTTTCCTACAAAAAAGGTTTTTTTTTCTATTTTTTAAACCGTTTTAAAGTTATTTTTTAAAATTTTTGAAGTGTTTTCGATAACACAAAAAGAACAGAACGTGATAAAAAAAATATGAATTAAGTTTACTAACTCCAGAAACTTGCTTTTTTTTTCTTACAGAAAAAATAATCAAAAATTAAATTTTTCTTTTATAAATTAAAGTTTCTGCTATGTTACGTGTCTTAAATAGCCGAAAATACAGATTTATATCTCGTTCCACTGCTGCTACCTCCCCTTGAGGATATATTTCTATAGAATTTTTTTAAAATCTTGGCTATATAATTTTTCTAGAGCAATTCCCAGGGTAAGAAAAAATATTTTTATATATATATGTCTGTGTGTGTGTGTATGTGTGTGCATGCGTGTGTGTGTGTGAGTGAAGGATAAGGTCTAAAAGAAAAAGGTCCTACGCCAGCAATCTTGTCAATCCACGTCAATCCGAGTCGTGCAGGGTTATCCCGGGAGGGAAGTACAATCCCCACCCCTTGTAAATTCAAATACTCTGCTTCTTTGTGCAGTGCATTGTCTAGCAGTCTAAGAGGATCATGTAGAGACAGATCGAAGTGTTCTTCTGTCTCCTGACTTTTACACGGACTCTTCTCGGACACTTGTTCTTTTGACAGTCATGTGTCATGCCATTCAATAGCTTACATGTGCGCCACCACTATCCTGTCTAGCGTGTCGTCTTTGCCGACGGATTTATGCGATATTTTAACATTTTATATGCGAAAAAACACGCGTGTAGAAGCGTAAAATACTCACCTTCCATGTCTTGAACCCGATCTGCGTGCCTGTCTTCGTCGGCGGAACCACCGTCTTTACTCGAAGCGTCATTATCGCCGTCTTTTGTCCTCCCCGCTCCGTCGTCACCCCCGTCGACGTCGGGGTCATCATCGTCACAACGATTCCTAGGCGACCACGTCATCTTGTTCTCCTTCTTCAACCTCCTCCTGGCATTAGCAAACCAGGTGGAGACTTGAGTCAAAGTCATTTTGGTTATGATGGCTAGCATGATTTTCTCCCCTTTAGTGGGGTAGGGATTCTTCCTGTGTTCGTTCAGCCATGCTTTTAGAGTGCTTGTGGTTTCCCTTGTGGCATTTTTTCTTCTGGCACCATTTAAATCGACAGCATAACTATAGAAAAAAATAATAACAAGAAGAAAGAAAATAAGAGCATCGATCTAATTTACAATACAAAATATTAAAATTTAACTTATTGGAATGCGAAAGTGAGATTTCTCCCCTTCCTTCTTTGGTTATAACTTGAAAGTTGACGAGATAACACCCCTTAAACGACCTATTTAAACATAGAGAATGGCCCATTCAACTTAGCTCAGGGCTAACATATTCTAGAGAATCTCCATAGAATTACACGCATCGTAGACTAACCCACTTATCTTTTCCGGATTATACGAAAATTTCCGGAAATATAAGCTCACAAATTATTAGTAATTTATGTTATAAATTGTTAAAATCAGGTTCTTCAATCTGTCGCTATTTATTTAATATATATGATTTTTTTTCTTTTTTCTTCTTCTTCTTCCTCGCAATAACGTTCATTGTGTTGTTGTCTTGGTTCGTAGAGTCACGTTTATCAACGATGCGTTACGTCGACCACAAGAAACAAATACACGCAATCGGGCGTAACAGTTTATTCCTTATAAAGCATACGTTACGAATCAATGAAGCTCGATAAGAACAACTCCAAATTAAACAATAATATTCGATTAGAGTCGACTTCACCAACCCTGAAAGATAACTTCTAAAGTAATATTTATTCGTATCTGTTCCCGTAACATGCCTCCGAGCTGTTTAGATAATCTAAAGGAGATATAAAAAAAAACTTGAATTTATTTAATTTTTGGGGTCTGGTTTGTAAATCTAGACGATATTAATTGCCATTTAAAAAAGAAGAACAAGAGGAGCAAGAAGCAGGAGAAGTGATCCGATCTCTTAACTTTACTATCTGATCGTTTCGATACTCGTAATTTATCTGCATCAGACACTTTACTTGTCCCTTATTTGTCTCATGCCAAAATTCTTTAACAAAAAAAGTAAGTAGAATTAAATTAAAACACTCCAAGCTCCATAAAACTCCAAGATTCTTGAGGCATCTTATCATACTAGATAACCAACCCTCTGCTTAAATTATCATCTTTAAGAGTTAAGGAAACGTCAGAAACTTACTCAAATCATCCGTAAAATGCGCGAAATTGCTCATTTGTCTCTTGCCAAAATTCTTTAACAGAAAAAAAAAGATAAAAAAATAATAAATAGAATTAAATTAAAACTCCATCAAGCATCTAAAGTTATCATCCAAGATAATCAACGTTAAACTATTAATATCATCTATAACAGTTGAGGAAACGTCAGAAACTTGTCAAATCATCCGTAAAATCAAATAATTTATAAGAAAATATATAATCAATTTTAAATTGATTAAATTTGAATCCATATATCGATTATTATCTGAGTAAACTCGCATCTTCGTTTATAAAGTTACAGGATCTTATACACAAAGGATGGGGGCAGCAAAGAGTAAGAAACTAAGAGACAAATCATGTAACGAAGACAAAACAATGTTTTCTCTTGTAGGTGAGGAGTATAGACCCCAATAAAGTATTTTTTACGAAAGCAACACACGTTCCTTTCTTGAGGAGTCGCACAGCATCCCAAACTATCTCAGGAACAAAACATTCGTCAATAGAAACCAACTTCACTTCCTGCTGTTGTTGTTTTTATAAAAACCTGCCGGAAACACAAGTAATGGCGTGACGCAGTTCGAGTAGAGTGTTAACAATCCACAAATAAAATAAAAAAAAATAAAATCAAATAGAAAAAACTGCAGCTGCCAAAGACAACTCTTTGGCACGCACTTTACCTTCTCTTTCAAGACAATGGTATTAATCAATGTAATGAGAAGTCGAAAAGTAAAAACTCCCAAAACACGTTTCTAATTGAGTGGAAAGAATGTTTTTTTTTATTTGTTCCATAAAAAGCATATTTTTTAGTAAAATTCGTCTTCAAGAATGCTTATGTTCAGGTTTGGGTGCGCTTCTATGCCCGAATTAATATATATTTACGTTTTATAAAGTGACCTTTGAACTCTCTCCGCTCATCTTAGGTTCACTTCGATTTGTTGTACGGCCTTCAAAATAGATAAAATTTTATTAAATAACATGATTAAGCTAGACTTTTTGTTATAAAATGATAATTTACGGTAGGATTTAATAGTTAAATCGATAAAATAGTCATCCGCTGTAATGTGAACCAAAAAATCAATAATTAAAAATTATTTGCGGAAAAAACTTTATTATAAGTGAAACGACGGGTATAGAAAATTGTTACGATATGGAATCGATACGTAATTTAATAATAATAACTGAAAAATGTGACTTTGAACTCTCACCCCTTCAAACTTTTACGCTAGAAATAATCGTTAATCAGGTTACGAAACGTATATACAAATTCCTAACCATTTTAGTGACCTTTGAACTCCGACTTTTCAATTTTTGAAAGTAGATCCGCCGTAACGGCTTCACCCCCTTCGATTTTTAAAAACGAACGCTTTAATTTCCGAGTCAGAAGGAAACCCCCGGTAGTAATACGGTTTTAAAACTTTCCAATAAGAGCCACTCTGCATGAAAGCCCCCATATTGCAGCAGGAAACTCCTTAGGGTGGCCACTCGTATCCGACCCCAAATTGATAGGGGGAGAGAGAAAAGTGGTTTGCCCATCCGCCACCCCCACGGGTGGACTGATATGGCCATAAATATTAAATTTGGCGAATAGTCTGTGACTAACTTTACCGTCCTGATTACACGGAACACTGGTTCCAGTGGTATGTTGGCGTAACGGCTGTGCAGGATCCGGCCTGGTCTAACATTAGGAGACATCCTGATGTCGATCTTTTCGGGGCATATATACTGCTGCGGCTTATCGTAAAATATCTATGACGGAACTCGGACTTGGATATTTTGAGTTTTATTAGAATTGATCAGTGTAGCGAGAAGTTTTCAAGAACACAATAAATCTACCCCGGATTAAAAGCGAATTTATGCGTAGATACAGTCACAATTACGACATGCATCGACGTCATTCGTTGTATGCATCACGGCTTCCGGTTTCCATCCTCTTTTATTGTCCAAATTAAGGTAGCCCTCTAAACTTAATACCGAGAAAAAACTGCGGCAGAAAGTATCGAAGAAGTTATAAAATTCGTACACCAGATGCAAGGATTCGTGCACGAGGTGCAAGGAGCAGCCCTTCTTGAAAATCTTGCATGTACTGTACTGTACTGTACATGTTTTTATAAACCCGTTAATTAGTCAGGAGCAGCCGTTCTGATAATCTTATCGGTGCATATTTTTATATAGCCTACCTATTAATTAATCAGGAGCAGCCTTTCCTGAAAATCTCCCTGTACACGTGTTTTATGCACTGTACTGTACCTATTAATTAATCATTCACATGTAGGTACTTCATAGTTGTAAATAATTGCGTGGAGACATAGATGATGCCGAAATTACAGTGATGTGTAAGCTTAATTAAATTCTCTGATGAATCTTAACTGTATAGATGATAGGCATTCACGATATTAGATAATTAAATTTCATCACTGAATAACTGTATAATGATAAGCAATCAGGATGATGTCTAGGAAGTAATTAAATCTTCAATCGCTACAAAGTTGATTCTGCCTACAAACGGTGCCTTCACTTTCAGCCTATAGGCATTAATGATAGGCATTTCAAGCAATGTAGACGTGGGACTAACAGTTTAATTTGTGATAGTAGTTAACCGATGCCGATGCCCATTATCGTAATAAGTAACGTAATTAATCCGAAAACAAAATCGAGCAAACGTGCGACTTTTAGTTTATTTTTTCCACCCCCCTGTGATAATTAGAAGAGGGGCGCTGGGGCCTTTAATGCGGCTGCGATTTGTCACAGAAGCTATTTTACTATTTGTTTTAAAAATATCCCAGAAGTGGCGTCGGATGACATTGTGCCTCTCACTTGGCACATTACCTGAAAAAAAAGGGGGGAGATCCAAGCCGGAGATGTCAATTAGAAGATCGTCGGTGGCACACGATTGGACGATCCATTAATCACGTGAAGCCACAGACTCGCTGCCGAGAATTGCAGTTGACAGTTCCGCCCCCTTTTAGCAGAGTAATCGTCGCTGCACTTTTCCGAATTACCGCTCCATCAATACACTCTGCTTCTCAACGCGCATGCCTAATGGAATTTGCTTCACGCGCCTAATTTCCTTCCCCCTTCTTGCATTTTTTAAAAACCTCGATCGCTTCATTAAACTCCAGTCGAACTAGTCTCGGCGTAACTTTAAACTCTCGAATTGCGAATGTCTCGTTGGGTGCCACGACCAGGGAGCGGATAGCGTGACAAGAAATCTTGGAATCTCTTTACAGAATTAATAAATTCCCGAAAAGGAGACGACGATCTCGAGCGTGCGCACCCCCCTTCACTCTAATCGTTATCTCTTCATTTACATCGGAGGGTCTGGTACAGTAGAGGAAACAGAACCACTAATCATTCACGTGACTCGGAAAGGGCAAAACCACTAGTCGTTAGCCATCCCCCCTCTCTTCGCCCGCTCTAGGCCTGGCGGCTAGACACAATTAGCCACTTAGCCAAACGGTTTTCGTTCCACCAACGAAATCAATCTCACTCTACTCCAACGTTTCATTTCCAAACGTTCTGCACTTCCTGGCCCCCGGGTTAGAATTGGGTAAACATCCATTACTCTATAGTGCCCTATTCGACTATTGATTCTATAGGATTGGAACTGCTCGGTCGTTCCTGCGGGCTATAACTTCTCATAAACATTCATATTGGGCTCGTTATGAGCCATTCTGACAATGCTTGAAGGCTTTCCGTGTTGCAAAGCGTGATCCGAGTACAACCGGAGGCAAATTAAGGCCTTTTTTTCATTTTAATGAAATCTTCTGTCGACAAATTTATCATTTCGTGAAAGATTATTCTTCTTTTTTTTTTATAAAAAAAGAAAGGTTGTTTTAAACAGGCTCGTTTATCTCATGTACCCATTGAAGGCGTTAATTGATTGATGTGGCGTATGTAATCATATATAGTTCGAAACAATGCTCGATGAAAGGACAATAGGCACAGCTCCACTTTCAGTTAGACCTAATAACAAGTCACGCGGGCGGAAGTGAAGGTGTGTAACTATCACGAAAGGCACGTCACGTAAGTTTGTTGTAAAATTTAAGCCTTCCTAGAAAGTCAATCTTTTCGTATTGGTCTGTAAACACGCGCTCTACCTTTTTTTTTCCTTTTTTTGGATTTAATGGCGTTCTTTGACCCTGCAGATCGTTTATCGATGTTTTAGGCCCCCCTTTAGCAATTAATCGAATTCATTTTATGAATTTAAACCACTTCGGAATGAATTTAATGTTTTAAAAAAACACACAAGGAAACGTGACACTTGGCGGCGTTACTCCAAAAAACAAGTGAGATGTTTCTGTAATGTTTTGGAGGCGAAACAGTCAATAGATGAGTGTAAAGGCGTGGCGTTTGTCGTGCGAAGTAATTGGCCCTTACAAAAGGGAGAATTGTCAGAGTGGAGACTTGTTCATCGTCGCGTGACGTTCAACACGATAAGCAAAGTCGCCCCCCGATATATTTACCTGGACGATTGTTACCTGTATAAGATCCTCCCGTTTTACCTGTTTTTTTAAAACGTGTACTGGATGATGTAAACACGTAGAAAATTTGCCATTTTACACGCCGAAGAAACGATTTTTAGGCCATGACTCCCCCCATTTAGTAGGAAAGCTATCAAACGAGGTAATGCGGATTAATGTAATCGATGCTAACCTGTGTAGGAGAGTCGAGCAAAATCAGAAATAAGAGGTCGTCTAACAATTAAATTAGTGCCAAAGCGTTCCATTAATTTTTAATTAGTCGAATACAGGGAGTGATTAATGATTCATAACAAAACCAGAATGCCAGAAACAGCGCTTCTTCGTATAAATATCTCACATAGCAAGGCGCAGAAGGGGGATCATCTGTCTTCTACGCCCCGAACGTGTTTACACTGCGGATAACGTTGAAAAATTGGCCTGTCGCGCAGGGCCGCTCTTTACTCGTTACTCCTTGTCTCTGTCGTCATTCTTTTCTTTTATCGGTCGCCATCTTGGTTTTCCAAACCCTACACCGCATTTATATTAAAATTATCGCTTCTAAAATTATGCAAATTCCACATTTTTTAAGTTCCCAAACCCCCGTTTCTGAAGTGTTTATCAGTGTTTCTCCTTCGAAACTGAGTATAGTACGTCGAGGCTGAGCTTTTCACTAGGCCACTTATATAAATATATATGCAATTTTTAGGGAAGGCTTCCTTATAGAGTAATTTAATTGCAAGTTTTAAGGAATTAATGAATATTGATCCTTCATTTTATCCTATTCTTCCTTTGATTCGTTGCATCTGGCCTATCAAAAAGTGATGGAGCTTTGTGTTGGGAAAATTTTGTAGCACGTAGGAGGGTTATTTCAATATTTTATGGTGAAGAATATCATAAAGAGGGATCTTGTTATTGTAGAACACTGCGTTCTTTCCTATTTTAAAGTATAGACTCATGTAAAGGGAGGTAGATCAGGTTTTTACATTGTGCTAGCGCCTCACCAGTATAATTTTTACATTGGTAGGATGTCTTTACACACAAGGAAATGCTTTGATTTAGCAAAGAAGTAGATTTCTGCATACTGTCACACATTATGTTCTTCCTCACCCCCAGATTTCGAATTGTAATCGGTTATTTTTAACGTGTTTCTGATAAATTATAGCAAGACACACAAGAACTGATAGCTGATATCACGCCTAAACTCTCTGTTAGGATGCTTCAGATGGGCAAAGAGTAGACGAATCTTTGAAAAACTCTCTAACGGTTGTTCTCTCCTTAATTTCTTAAAATATAATAGTATCTCATCACGTGTTAAGGCACGCTTCCTAAAAATGTAGGCCTAAATAATTAGATGTGGTGTTTTGTAAGAGTCTTAGTTGTAAAGGATGCTGATGATTTTCCTTCTACAGCAACTCATAAGGAGTTGACACATTAAACACGAATAGGAAAATGCCACTCAGACTTTTCCTTTAGGTTGGCTTTCCAACATAACACATAATCCTACTATAAAGATTTATGCAGATTCTTGGGGGTTTCTCGTACAAACAAAGGAGTTAAGAGACATCACCTCTTCGGATCGTTAATCAGAAAGGTGGACTTAATCAAGCCAACACAATACATAATAAGGATAATGTAATAACGATGTTTAAAACAACTAAATTAGTGTGAATTCGGAATGTATAGAGAAATAATCTCCGGAGGACCCGTAATATCTACTGTTCACGAAGGATAAATCTCTCACCGCCGCATCCAATAGCAGAAAGCGTAAAAGCTAATTAAGTTCGATATATGGCGTCGACTTACCCGTTGGGGAATGGATAACCGGCCAAAGCTGCTGATTCGTAAGGATAGTAAACAGAAGCTGCGTATGGCAAACTCCTCCAAGCTTCCAAGTTGTCCTTCAGGTCAAACCCGTTCGCCTGTTGAGAGAAGAAGGCTGTTAATAACTCGCTTCTCTAATCATTACAACAACTATTCTCTTATTAACAACTCTAATGTAGTCTAGCCTCTTTGTTTGTGCACCGGGATCGTTTCTGCAGCGCCTAATAACTTAAGGCTCAACGCGCGACTTTAGCCTGTCAATAAATTCTTACCCGGTCTTAAGGCTGTTTAAATACTATTAATTAAATAAAGCTTAAGTTTAGAAAATTGGAGAAATATTTATTTATTAATCTGGACGAAATTCGTGACTGGAGACGTGCTGGACCTCTGAGAAGTTGGAGCAACAAAAGACGGCTCGCGGCTTTGTCTAGTGTCCAGGTGCTATGACTAATGAACGTAGCAGGCTCGTAACACGATATTCGAAGCACGTGCTTGTCTCACATGGAGTCGACTATGGCCCGAGTAACCGTCTTCCACGAAAACCCATCAACAGATGTGTTGACGTGTTACTTCGTCGACCCATTTGTCTTCCGAGTCTCTCTCTCTCTTCCTCTCCCCTTTTCTCTTCTACACAAAAGCAACTCCCCCAATTCGATTTGTTCTCTTTAAAAATTAACAAAAACACGACCGATTTTCGTTTCCTACTCTGCATAATGCGGGGTGGAAATTTAGTAACCGGCTCTACAACATTAGCATATGATTATCATCCACTTAACTTTTAGGATAAACTTCTACTCATCAGCAAAAGGCTATAAAGTAGTTAACTAACGAGTTAAATCATTAAAAACAATCAAAAGTTGGAGGTTAAAATTTAAAATTTTCTTAATAAATAAAAAAGAAAGGACTTGGCAATGGCCTCGTATCTATTATACCTAAACTTCTACTACACTTGCCCATTTTTATGGCAAGGGCAGACGGGGCCATTATCTGACCCCATAACTGAAACTGGAATTATGAAAACTTGTTCATACGCGAACTGCGGGTCAAAGAATGCCAGTTATGAGGTCTTACACGGAGAAACTTGGTAATTATATATCTCTAGACAGCACGCTTCCGAAGATTCCTGTCTTTGTAGAAGATAATTAAAGCCCTTACGGGGGGTGAAGTAAAGGGAGCAAAATGGATTCGTTGGGCACGAATGCAGACAAGTAACCAATGGCCACCCTAGTTGATGCTGCACGACCAATGATGGCTGAATAAGCCGTCGAATCAACCAATCGACTAGGAAGTGGAAGTACGACAGAAGGAGGTGGATCTCAATAGGAGATTTGGTACCCATCTTGGCGTAATTTATAGACAGAGTGCGGGTGGTAAGGGTGTCGAATTTAGAAGAGATTTAAGATAAGCAAGCTTTAATGAGTAAAATGTTTGTTTTTACAAGTTTGTGATAGGTGATAGGGTCAGTGTTTAGGCAACGATTTACCCAAAATAAACATTATTCTCCCCCTTTCGGTGTGGTTTAACTAGAGCAAACGGTATCGAATTCTTCATCCGAAGCGTATAGAAAAAGGCTCGTTTAGATAAAAATTATGAATTTACGTGCCTCGATAAGGTTAGGAAAGGCTCTACTTGTACGGAAATTGAGCTGTCGAGCTAAGAAAAAGGCTCTGTTTATATTAAAATGAATTTGAGCAATGTTGAAAAGAAGACTCCGTTTGCTTGAAAAATAGACAAAAAGGCATAATTTCGTGAGAAAAAATGAATTTTAAACCTTAAAAAATTTTTAAAAAGCCTTATTCCTACCAAAAATCATTTAAAAAATAGGAGAAAAAGCTACTCAAGAGCATTTGAATGTATAGAAAAAGGCTCGTTTATATCAAAACAATGAATTTTGAATGTGTAATAAGTCGAAAAAATGGCTCCGTTTGTTTCGAAGATAGACTTAATTGTACGATGGGAAAAAAAATTAAATTTTAAACTTTAATAAGTTAAGGAAAGCCTTTCTCCTACCAAAAATCCTTTAAAAAATAGCTGGAAAAGCTACTTAAATTCCTGACAATTGATTAAAACATTAAAAGACTATCTGTAACGAAGGAAAAAGAAAATAATTAGAATTTATAAATAATCTGGAGAAGGAAAGGAAAATATTTTCTACGAAAAATCCTTTAGGTTAAACAATTTCCACCATTAAATTGTCAATAAAAGTGGAATTAACAATCCAAAACTGAAGCATCATCCGTAATAAAACTTGCTCTTATCATCTAGATTATATATAACAGTGTAAGAGTTTATATTAACCGCTAGCCTATAGGCTATTTGTCAGATAGAAATTACATACGTGCACGAGGGGAGAAGAAGAAAACGAAAAAAAAAGAAAAAAATCACTGTTCGTGTTGTGTACATTATAATAGAAGTGCAACCTATGATTAGGCCAAGATACTGGCAAGTAGTGCGACTTAATGAAGTGCAGCGTAGGTGTATTAGCAGTTTGTCCGTCTAGATTACTGCGTAAAAGAAACACCCTTCATAAAAATTGCGCTCAAGGACCGTTCCTAGGCCCTGTAGATCCGTCAACTTTCATTACCCTGCGCCCCTCCATTAGAAGTTTGCCCCGCTATATAAAGACAACATTAGATTGCGAGTTTCCACCCCGATAATACGCTGTTACGACGTATCTCGGGGGTGCCATGCATCGACGTCCGTCTTGCCAGACGTGTGTTTGTCTTCGGAAGGTTAGATGCTCCATCATCGAACATTGGGCGGAAATTACAGCACGGTCCCCTTGGTAGGTAATAGGAGAGACGTCTTCGGATAATTTATACCCTTCCCTTCTTGCTGCGATCGATTCGACATCTTTCCATTGCTGGATCGTCAGGTTAAAGGTATTCACCAATGAAAATTCACCCCCTCTCTTTCACTCTTTGCAACTTTTCCATCCTTCTCTTCCTCTCTCTCTTCTCTATTTTTGAAACTTACAAGGCTCGTTTACCTACATCCAATTTATAATTCTTACTTTAAAAAAATTATTCTGTAATTTTAAAAGTGGGTTTCAGGCTTTTTTAAGAGTAGCGAGTGGGTTATTTTCGTGTTTAATTTTGAATATTATAAAAAGTCAAAGATGTGATGCAGAGAGGTTGGTGAATGAGGGATGTCTGGTCGGAAAGTGGGATAAGTTGATTTTTAGTATGCATTATTGGAGATTTAAGGTATAAAATTGAGTTTAAAATATGTTTAAAATGAGTAAAAATAGAGGAAAATGGTTATTTAGAGGTGAAAAGTAAGTGTTAATCAGATGCAAAATGTGAGGAGTGTAAGAAGCATTCACAAAATCGCTGAAAAGATGCAAAATTCCATTCAAAATATGCAAAAAAAATATATAAAGGAAGAGATTAAAATGACAAAAAATGAGAAAATCTCATTCAAAACGCATCAAAATGCAAAAATTTCACTTAAAAATATACAAGTTTACACGAAATAGAGTAAAAATTTGTTCAAAGCATAAAAAAGAACAAAATCTATCACGGAACGAACAGAAATGCAGTCATAAACACAGTAAAAAACGTAAAAAACAATAAATTACAATTTAAAACGACACTAAAAACCCCCCGAAATAACGCAAAACGTTAAAAAAAAGGGGGGAAACACATTAGAAGCATTTAAAATGATCAATTAAAAGAGTCAAAACGATTGTCCACTCAAACATTTAACTGCATAATGGAGATTAAATGTTAAAACTTGAAAAAGATTCCACACCTCTGGGCCTAATTAGGGAAAAAAACGAGGGGGGAAGAGAGCGAAAGAAATGTACAGGGAGTGCGAGTAGTTAAGTTATTTTGTGACCAAACCGTCCCCAGAGTTGGCTTTATCATCATGAAACAGAGAGGAAGTTAAGTTATGTGGTATCCACGCCTTGTTTGCCAGTTATATTAAACATCGGGTCGAGATGTAACTGCGCAATAAACCGGATTTTGTTTTACCAACTCCACCCTTCTTTGCCAGAGATGTGAACTTCACACCAATCCCACTCGCTGCATTTCCATTAAGATACCTTTTATTCCTCTAAAAAAGAAAAAAAAAGAAATATTCAAACTCTAATAGTAGCTTAGGCAAGGTTACAAGATCATTAATTATTCAGTATATGGCATAATTAAATATATGATGAAATGTATGTTTGTCTGGCTGTTGCTCATAAACTGTTCTAGATATTTCTGTAATATTGGAGGTTTTTTATATATGTATTTCTCGTGTCGGGAGCAGTATGAGATAAGAACAATATCTGATGTATCCTTATATTTTATGATAGCAGCGTGTTTACAGGATTTACATAACGTATGAGGGATGTTCTAAGGAGCTACAAGACTATAAGAGCCGCATAAAATAGAATTGCATTGTTCTATGGAGCTACATGATAGAGGAAAGATTGTAGGAGACATATACTATGGAAATAGTTTAAGGATTCTATGTTTTATACGGAACTTATAGGACAGGAAGTCAACAAAATTAAAAGGGCAACATTACTTATGAGTAGTGTCCTAAGGAGCAGCATATCATGTAAAGAAAACTGTAGGGAGACCTATAAAATAGGAGCAATGTTGTAAGGGCCGCATATTTTATTAGGAGCCACTAAATTAGCAACAAGAGCCACATATGGTATTAACAAAAATATACCATATTTGATAGAGAAAGGATCGTAGGAGCCATATACAATAGAAAAAAGACAGTAGGATCCATTCAACATAGAAACAATGTCACGTATTTTATAAGGAGCACTTAAGATTCTTAAAATAATAAAAAAACAGAGCATCTAAATAGGAGCCACATTAATGTATTACAGAATGACTCTATATGGCACCCGTGTGCAATTATTTTTAAAAAAATCCATACGAAGAGAGGTTCAACTTTGCCACTCGACTTCCCTTGTTAGAGATATGTTGACTAATGTAAACATATTGATCATTAGTAGAAAATTTTGGCCAATGCTCAAGAAAAGGATTTAAAAAAAAGAGGCAAAAAATCAACCGAAAGGAGCCAAAAAAAAGGAACCAAACTTCTCGAAACGATTTTAAAGTTGATGGGTTTCGACTTCATTTTCTAGTGT